GGTGGAATTTACGCAGCTCATTTACACACTTTTCCTGAAGATAGAAGAGTTTGTTGAATCTGGCGTGACATGTTCGTACGAACCCTTCGTACGAACAAAAGTAAGAGAAATTTAGGATAAGAATACGAACATGTTCTTGCATGAGGCCCAATAAACCCTAGAATGAGGCTCGCTGCTTCGTTGAGAGGATGAAAACCTTAGCAGCCACAGGTCTTTTGGTGTTCCTGTGAGACTTAACTTTGACCGGAGTTATGCGTAAAAACAAAAATGCCCTGCGCTCGTACTCACTTGTGAAAGATCTTGGTCCTCTTGTCGCTTGAGAAGTTCTCCAGCTGCAGTGACTCCTGGGTGAGGAAGGCCACAGCCAAGTGAAAGTAGTTGTTCCACAGCTGAGCCCAATAAAGTCAGGGAGACAGACAGTGAGTGTGGAGGGGAGGGGACAGGAGATTATTTAACTCGCAGCTCAAAGCTCGTTTTACAACAATCTTATTCAGCGCTAGACAGTGTGGGCAGGAAAGCTTTATGGTTTCATTAAATCAAAAGCTTTAGATGAGATGGTTACAGTTCTTTGCCGGGAAGCTGTCCAAGTGGATGAAGTGCTTGTTGATTTAGGCCAATGTCATCTACAGCACACTCTCAATCAGACAACGGCGGGAGCTAAAGAAAATCTACAGCTCGTTTTGCCCCAACTGCTGCGAAGCATCYATGTATACATATGAAATAAGACTCTTTACAATCATTAGAATTTTAAGTTTGGAACACATTATTTTTAAAAAAAAGAGAAACCAACCGATTTCTGTAAAAAAATAAATAAATAATAAAAACAGTTTTAAGTGCAGTTAGTCACACTAAAACAGCTACATTTACATAATAAATTCACAGAGGCTTTAAAAGCTCGGAGGAGCTTAGTTGACAACATTCTTTCATGTTTCGACATTTACAAAACAAGACGTTGCTCTATTCAAAGATGAAAAGGTTAAAATATTCTGCATTCAGCATAAAACTGCTCGCCATTACAGAGTAACTGATGCTCTCCATCTGCAGTTTAGTAAATTCCAAACGGTAATGCATCGTTGACTAAAAGTACATTGTGTCTGAGCACCACTGAAGCAAAGCCATTTAGATGTTTAAAATCTGAGCAGCACTTACCTGTAGCTCAAAGTTGGTTTGATCCAGAAATTTCTTGTTCAGCACTGCTGCATACTGACTAATAGCTCGAAGGAAAACTCTGGAAAAAAAGAGAAAAGTATAAAGAATTAGTCTTTCGAAGTTTAGTCTGCAAAGTTTTCTGTACTTCCTCATTTATCTTCAGATTTTAGTTTTAGATTTGCGCTCCAACCCTTTTGAAATTGTGGTTTGTATTATGAACCTATTATTTGGTAAGACTGAAACAACTCAAAGCCACACAAAATCCAAGCACATTCCACTTTCACATTTCAGCTCATGTAAATAAAGTGGTTTGAGCAGAGCTGCAACAACTGTTTCATCTTTCTGTTTGGCAGATTTACAAGTTAAACCTGATCTGAACATCTACATATTTACACACTTAGGTCTATATCTATTTGGACACTGAGAAAAAGTTATATATTTTACCTGTTTACTGAAACATATTCAAGTTATAAATATAGAATGGACTTGGACATGAAGTCCAGACTTTTTAGTTTTCATTTGAGAGTATCCACATTAAAACTGGATGAAGGGTTCAGGAGTTCAGCTCCTTAACATGTGCCACCCTGTTTATAAAGGGACCAAAATTAATTAGACAACTGACTCAAAAGCTATTTCATGGGTAAGTCCTTTGTTATGTCATTCTCAATGAAGCAGATAAAAGGCCTGGAGTTGATTTAAGGTATGATGCTTGCAATTTGAAGATTTTGCTGTGAAGAAAACGTGATTAAAGAAGATCTTCATGCAGGTGAAACAAACGGTCCTTAAGCCGCAAAAACAGAAAGAAAGAAAAAACATTGAGAAATTGCTGCAATAGTAGTAGTTGCAAAGTCCTGAGAAGGAAAGAAAGCACTGGTGAACTCATCACTGCAAAAAGACCTGGATGATCGCAGAATCATTTTCATGGTGAAGAGAAACCCCTTCACAACAGCCAACCAAGTGAACAACACTCTCCAACAAGTAGGTGTATCAATATCCAAATCTACTGCATGAAAGTAAATATAAAGGGTTCAGTGCACGCTGTAAGCCTCAAGAATAAAAAGGCTAGATTGGATTTTGTTTRATAAAAACATTTAAAAAAGCCAGCACAGTTCTGGAAGAACATTCTTTGGACRGATGAAACTRAGATCAACCTCCATCAGAATGATGGAAAGTAAAAAATATAAATACAGACACAGTCTATATTAGTGCTGAGCATAGGTTAAGCATTTTAATCACAATAAATCTTAAGACATTTTTGCAATTAATCACGATTAATCTTAAATAATGTGTACGTTTGTATGTTACAGTAAACTTCATGTGTGAGACACTATGGAATTATTTTATTTTATTTTATTGTGTTTTAATTTGTCTATATTAGTGCTGAGCATTGGTTAAACATTTTAATCACAATAAATCTTAAGACATTTTTGCAATTAATCACGATTAATCTTAAATGATGTGTACGTTTGTATGTTACAGTAAACTTCATGTGTGAGACACTATGGAATTATTTTATTTTATTTTATTGTGTTTTAATTTTTTTATCTTCCTACTGCTTATCTCATATTGGATTTTTTTTTCTTCATTTGGAATGACATTTTTATGCACTAAATGACTTCATGATTCAAAGACGTTTAGAGCATTTTTCAGGTACTATTTTTTTATTTAAAAAAGATGCGATGTATTTTCAAACACTTCAAACAAATAAGGCAAAGCAAGCCTGCCTTGCCTTTTTCCTCCTACACACGGATCAGACAACAAAGGCTTTCACTGGTTGAGGTGACAATGCCTTTCTAAAACCAATAATGATCAAAAACCTGCCCACCTGCCAAGACCACTGGATCTGTGTGTTCATAGCCAGTGAATGGAGATAAATATAAAAAAATAAAAAACAGCATTACGCACGTTAAAAAAATTAGCGCCGTTAAGCATCTGCTGCATTAACGTGATAATGAAATTCACATGTCCATCACCATATACATATACATACATACATACATACATACATACATACATACATACATAC